TATGATTTTTTTCGATAAGAAAGTAAAGAGAAATTAATGGTTATCTAAAAGGATGCAATCTCAATAACAATATTTATGTCACTTTTATAAATCTCAATTGAAATTTAGATAAGCATTGTGAGTATTGTTGCTTTGCATTTAAAATTGCATAGAAAGCTAGTATCCTCAATTATTGATTATCATTTTATATGAAAAATAACTGTGGAATGTTTTATTAAAAAGATCTTTAAGAAAGACTACAAGCATACATAATAGCATTACAATTAAAATGGATATAATGTAAACAATGACTAGTTAGAGGATAGTATGTTATAATTAGTTTTCCGTGTCCTTCCCATACACCTGACTCATGCTGAACATCGAAAAACTTGAACGATACAGAAGTATCATATGCATAACGATCTTGACCAATTTCTTCATAGTTTTCGTCATAAAAAGTCAATTCTCCTTTCGGAAGAATTGCATTGTCTGACAGAACCCAAGAAGAAACTCCACCAGCACCACCATTATTGTGATGACTGCAAAAACCACCATACCACCCACCACCTGCACTTCCTCTGTCTGTGAATCCATGTGGTGTTTTGATTCCATATGGATTCTTCGAACCATCTGTGCGAGAAGATTCTCCTTGCCCAAAACTGAATCCAAAAGTAGAATTTGCGGATAAATTTTCAATATACATACAGTCTATATTAAATCTTTGCGCTTCGAGACCTCCTGCACCTCCGGAGCCGTCATCAGACTGTTGAAGTGTGCCACCACCGTTGTCAGAACCGCCTCCACCACCGCTAACAATTACACGATGAAAAAGGTCGTTTTTCTCAAATTTGACAGCGGTTTGGCCACCTCCTGATCCTGATGCGTAACCAGGAGAACTTCCACCACCACCATAACCACCTCGATTCATGCAAGATAAACTAAAAGATTTATAACAATTAGAATTTCTTTGATCAAAATATCCCATTCCTCAAATTGTAGCAAAAGCTTTCATTGGATGAAAAAGAACTGAGTAGCCAGAAATATATGCACCTGCACCTCCAGTACTTGGTAATTGTTTGCAGACAGTATTTCCATTCACACGTTTAACTCTGTCTTGTGAAATACAGCTTCCATTGGGAAATCGATATGATGGAACATGCCCACTGCCGCTGCCACCTGATGCACCATAAAGTTCAAACTTATAGATTCCAGGCTGCATTTCAAGAACATAATATGTGCATTCATAATAGTTAACACATGGATATTCAAAAATGTAACTATTATTTTCATGTTTAACGTTAAGTTTTGCATCTTTTACACTTGAATTAAGAAGATATGACTTTATCATATATTAAAGTTGTCATATTCGTTCATGACAAATTAAAAAATGATTTACTATTCAATTGGCATCTTTGTCTAGTTAATATCCCTTTGTAAATACATTTGTTTTATCAAAATTTACTATTGTCATTCTAATAAATCCTAATTGAAAATATTAATCTTAAATCACGCCATTATGAAATTGTTTTAGATCTTATTAATACATTATAAAACTTTTCAAATTGTACTGAGTAATTCATGACTGGAGCAAATAATTTTCGATATGGAAAATGTTCTATCCAAGATACAAGTAAAGTTTATCAAAATTATTCTCCTATATGCCCACAATATCATGCAAATTCTTTTTATCCACGTAATAGCACTTATTATCCCACATATATCAAAATAAATTTAGATCCTGGAAAATATATATTTGAAGCATATGATTCTCAATGACAAGTCTATTAGTACTCTGATGGATATAGTGTATATGCAGAATCAACTATTACAATTTCAAGAAATGTTGATATCTTTCTATTTATCGGATCTACAGGCAAAAATAATCTTTGCGGTTATAAACTGAGACTGATACAGGAAAAAACTTTGATAAAGGAATATTATAGTCAAGTTTTCCTTCTAAAAGTGGTGGATGATATCTATATGGTGGTGAAACTAATCAACCAAGTGGGAGATCTGGATTTGTATATCCAACTGATCGATTGAAAACAGAAATTGGAAATATTAATTTATTATTAAAAATTTGAAAATTAGTTTATTTAGTTAATCAGCGATAAAATTGAATATGAAGGAATATGAGAAATGCTAAGAAGATGTTGACACTGGTAGTTGATTAAATATTGGGAGATGCAAAAATTTTTCATTTGGTTGAATTTTTTTATCTCATTTTCTTCTTCAAAATTATTTTCAATTTTATTTTTTGCTTCGCAAAGTCCTGTAGAAAGATGTGATAATTTGTTGTATAAATTGTTTATTGAGTATGTTATTGTTGCACTTGATGTTTGTCCATCATAATCACTATTAATGATTGTAGCTGAACTTGATGACCAAAAATAAAATGTTTGTGTACAATTATTATTTTTGATTGAACAAGATTCAAATGTAACTGTTGCTTGATATAAATTAAAACAATATTGACTAGCATTGTTTCTAATGATATTACATAAATAAAATTGATGTGGACCAGTATTAAAAATAAAAAAGCATCTAGAGTTTGCTTTGTTATCAATGAAAGATGATTGACTGATGTTGTATTTCTGTTCTGAATAAATATCAAGTAAAACATCTTCATAACATTTGTTATTTGTTATGTTATTTCGTGAATAACTAAGATTTCCGTATCTTAAATGATTAATTGAATCTCCTTTATCTATTTCTCCACAATCAAAGACTGTTGAATCTTCAAAAATGTTTTTGTTGTTTGTATTTAATCCTGATATATATGAATATAAAAATACTCCTTCATATCCTGATTGTGATTGTATAGATTTTGTGGCACATGTTCGATAGATAACACAACTTCCTTTATAAGAAGAAACTGTTCGAGATGGAGTTTTTGTGCCATTGAATCCAGAAATAGAAATAAGAAGTTTTGTTTGATCATTGATGTCTATATAGACAACAACTTCTTTAAATTCATTGAATAAACATGTTGTAACATAATAATTTCCTTGTGTTGTTGGATTAAATTTTTCATTTTCAGTGTGTTTTTCAGTGATAACTGAATTTTCATAAAAAAGTGTCCAAGTGTCAAGACTTGGACCTGAATCGAAGAACTGTCTTAACAAATGTTTCATTTTCATACATTTCATAAAAATATTTGAATGAATTACTTCTAAAATTTCGTTTAGCGCAGAAAGGATTGTTTTTATTTAATATGGACATAATATTATTTAAGTGTAAAGATTGTGTAATAAACAGAAATTCATCAAAAGTGACAACTCTCAATTTTTTGACATTTGTAAATTCTAAATTGAATGAGAAAAATGAAATAATACTAAGCATAATACAATATTCTAGATTTAATTATAATTAGGAAAAAGTTAGTTTTGAGAGTACTTTTCATAGGCATATAGAATGAAATCTTCTGAAAAATAATATCACATAAACTCATATTATTTTCTAATATATAACTATTTTATATAAAAATCAAATTCAATGATCTTAAAAGCGAAGGATAAACCTCAAAATTTACGAATATAATGAGTGGGAATATTTCATATGGTTTTATGATAGATAAGCATTATATTCCCACTCATTATATTCGTAAATTTTGAGGTTTATCCTTCGCTTTTAAGATCATTGAATTTGATTTTTATATAAAATAGTTATATATTAGAAAATAATATGAGTTTATGTGATATTATTTTTCAGAAGATTTTGTGTTCTTCTTCAAAATTTTATTTTTTTATTAAAAAGAATCTTTACAAAATATACATTTACTTAAATTAATATTTAAAAACGTGCTCTATCAAAAGTTCCAAAAATTCAATATTTTAGCTTTTCTGAGGTGTCACTTTTGATGAATTTCTGTTTACAACAATTGTATAATTAAAATTGCGAAGACATTATCTTTATCAAGGGATATATAATCCCTTGAAGTTGACAATCAAAACATTTTATGTCACTTTTTTGGTATTTTTTATAAAAATTTATGTTGGCATTTTTTTATTTTCAAGATTTACAAGAATCTAAGAATTCATTCATATTTTACACTTCACACTCAATTACAATACAATTCTAATCATAAGAATAATCTTATCTGCGAAAGAAACTCAAACAAATTCTAATAATAGAGTAGAAGTTTTAAATACAAATACAAAACAACATCTACCAAACACACTTTAACTAGTAAGAATGAGTTTAATCTTAATTTTTCATTGTTTAATTGTGTTTTCGAAATTGATGCATTTCTTGATAAACTTTATCGCATTGAAGTTTTCTCTAAAACAATAGGCAATCAAGAATAACTGTTCTTTCGAATTTCTATCCTGAAAAGTGGACTGAGATATCTCTTTGGGCTTTGAAAGATATATTATCTATTTTTTGATTCTTTGATGACAGAAACACAAACTTCATGTCCACTAAATGTAACAACTTCTACTATCTGAAACATAATCATCAGATGTTCCACTACCAAAACATCATGAACCACCTCCTGAAGTTCTGAGGTTGTGTTAATCTCCTTTACAGAATTTATCATTATCAAGGTTGATGCCTCCCCCTGTATATGTTCATCCTTTACCTCTGCTTTGTGCGATGTTATATTCTTTTAATGATCCTATGGTATCTCCTTAATCTTTAGAGTCTGAATATATTGCATTTCAATATTAAATAAATAATTATATGAAAAAAATACAGATCATGAATATGTTATTTTAGCTAGTTTAAAAGAAGTCGATAATCAAATAATTGTTCAAAAAATTGAACTTTGTTTTTATAGAATCTTTTTCTATGACCGCTTGTTGCGTTAAAAAAGGTAGAAAATGAAGTATTAGATTTAGCTGAATCAGATGAAATTATGTAAAAATCATCACGCATTATACGTGCATATGATATGTTAATTGATTTAAAAAAAAAAAAAAAAAAAAAAAAAAAAAAAAGGTAATGGGGCTTCCAGGGGCTGCGCCCCTTCTAGCCCCGAAGATGTTTAGTATAAAATGAGGTTTTTATTCGGAAAATTGTTAGTCTTCTGGTGTGAATTCGGAGGACTCTTCGTGTTTCTCTTCTTCGTGTTTCTCTTCTTCTTCCTCTTCCATTGCTTCTGGGAAGAAGTCTTCTTCTGGGTCGAAGACATTATATAATGTGTAATTGAATGACACATTATATCTTTCTTTGAGTTCGCTCCTGACAAAGAACTTAGTTCCAGGAATACAGAAGACTTCTGTGCGTTGGAAAAGCTGATGTCCTGGAACAAATTTGGCAATTAGAGACTTCTTTTTTCCGAATTGTTCAGGAGTTTCCATGACGACAGTAACAACATCTCCATCTGCGAGGTCTTGTTGTTGTTCGGAAAGGTAAAGAGCAATGATATAAATGGTTGCTGCGTTGAATTCGAGAAAGTCGAATTCAAATTGTGTAGTCGTATAGCAGTCAAACCATTTTGTACAGTTGTCTCCGAACTCGTCAACGTATTCATCTTGGTCATATCCGTAACTAAAGACTTGGAATTCGGCAATTGTCTTGTCGAATGACCGTTGGATGTTACGAGGAAGATTTTGACGAACTTGGTATAAAGTTCTCAACATTATAAGCTTAGTAAATGTTGGAAAATACTGAACTAAGACATCGCTAAGCTCAATTGGACTTGGAATTGTCTTAGTAAGTTCAATTGAACTAGCAATTGCTTTGTTCAGAACTTCACAGAACTGAGTATTGTATATAGCGTCTGGTTGTGTGTTTTCTTCGGCGTCTTTGAGATATTTAGAGCAAATTTGTTGAAGAATTTCTCTTAATTCGCTGTTAGACTTTTTGGCGGTTATTCTAACAGCTGTGCCAGTTCTTGGAGGTTGTGGGGCTTTGGCTTTGGTTAGCGGTTGAGAATTGTTAATGTTGGCTTCCATTAGACAAAAATAAACTGTTTTTTTCGGACTACTCATAGAAAAGTTTAAAATAAACCGTTTTCGTCAACGGTAACCCCCTCTATTTTTTTATTTTATTTAATAGTTACCGTTGGCAAACCGTTCCATCTCAAATATTGAATGAACTATAAACGTTTTTTGTTTTCTATACATACTTTTTTGTCCAACGGTAAAACTTTTTACACAACGGTTTTTGAGAGTCGTAGCCGTTGACTTTTTTGTAGAGCACTCAAAATAGTACAGCTTTGTCCGGACAAGTAAGGGTCTATCGTCGCTACAGGAAAAGTTACAGGCGTTCCAAGGAAGTATACTTTGAGAAGACTTTCCCCCTTATAGAATGAGATAGGACGGTTATTTTACAAAACTGACAACACTTTGACCGAGTAGTTTTTTGTGCTGAACAAAAAGTGTCATATAAACATCTGTCAAAAACCGCTTTTTAACTTCACTTAAAATGCCACGTAAGCTACGTAAGAATATACGTAAGAGGAAGAGAGCATTGAAACATCCAATAGTAAAACTGACACCACAACAACAGTTGCAACAACAAATGCTGAATGACCCCACTATGTTGCAACAAATGTCAAGCAATCCTATGCTTTTAAACCGAGTTCTTGGTGCACAGAGTGGAGGTTTAAGAGCGGCACTTTTAGCGAAAATGGCAGGCTATGGTGGAGCTGCAGACGGAACAGCTATAACCCTCAAAGTCAAATGAATTTGAGTTCACTCAAAAATCAAATAACAGATGTCAAAAAGTCAAACATAGACATACAGAAGCAAATAAGTGAAAACGAAAAGAAACTAGAATATGACAGACACACAAAGAAACTCAATGAGTTAAACGTAGAGAAAAAGAAGAAAGAAGAACAACTGAAAGAACTAAGTACAGAGGAATATGCGAAAAAAGTGTCAGAAAAAGCAACAGAAGTAGCAAAAATGGAACAAGATGTCATAAATTTGAAAAACCATACTACTCAATATAAAATACTGAAAGATGAAGAGATAAAACAAAAAGCCCTGAAGACATATATGGATAGCGATGAGTATAAAAAAGAAGTTGAAGCAAATGTAAAGGCAGAAAAACTTTTACAGTTGCAAAACCAAACCGTACAGTATGAAAACTTAGCACAAGAAAGTAAAAATAACGACGCAGCCATGCAAAAGGCAATGAAAAGCGCAGAATATATAAAAGCTAACAATGACTGGTTAGATGCCCAAGCCAACGCTAAAGCAGCCCAACTCATAGGGTCAATAAGGACAAAAATACAAGCGGATGAAGACAGTTCAAATGAAGCTTTAACAAATGCTGACTTTAAGAACGCCTTCGAAGCTCTTCATAGTAAGGTGAAACAAGTGAACGACTTCTCATCTGGAAAGAAACTGAAGTCTGAAGGTTTCGACAAAGAGTTAAAAGAAGTAGCACAAAATATGACGAAAATAACAGATGCAGCAACGAGACAGGCAGTTCAAAGTGCCTATGACGCCGTTAGAGCAACTGTTGTGAAAAGTCAAGAAAAAGAGTTACAACAGACCAAAACAGACCTAGTAAATGCTTTCTTAAGAACGAAAAGTCAGGTAGGACATTACGCTGCAGATGGAACATATGTGCCAGCTGGTGGAATTTATATACCACCAAACCCTCCAAGAGAAGCACCTGCACCAGGACTACCTAGAACATTTACATCGTCACATGGACACAAACACAGGCATGCACAACAACAACAACCAACAGTTCAAAATCCAACACAACAACCAACAGTTCAAAATCCAGCACAGCAACCAACAGTTCAAAACCCTGCACAACAACCAACAGTTCAAAACCCTGCACAACAACCACCTCCACAACCAGAGCAAGGACATAAAAGAAGTAGAGAACAAGGAAACCAAGAATTCTTAAAAATGCTTAAAGAAGACTATGGTTACCCAGATACTATTGACTTTAGTGACAGATATAAAGAAGCTATTAGAAAGTTCAATGAAGGAAATACTGACCCGAACCTATTTAGCTTTATGGCTCAGCACCATATGGGATATAATTTCAAACCTGGAAAATACAAGCTCGCTAAGGGATATGATTTAATAGCATATCATCCAAATGACATGACTGAATTTACTCCGAGATATTTGGTGTCAGAGCTAAATGACAATACAACTCTCTTCATGAAACGCGTAAAAAATAGAAACGGAACGAAAGAAGAAAGGTTTATGAGTCCGGATGACTTAGATAGGGAACTTGTTAAAAACGGTCTCGGAATATATGAAATGCCAGCAGATGAGGTACAAGAAACTCCACAGGAAGAAGTTCAGATACAACCAGACATGGAAGAAATAGTTCAGCAACAACAGCTAGAAGAGCCTGAAGGAAACGAACAAGTCCCTCCTTTGGAAACTAACTTCACAGAACTAGATGAAGATTTGGAACAGCCGAAAAATCTTGACCCTCAACAAGAGTATGCGGAGAATATGGAATATTTCCAAGAGTCTAAAAAAAATTCGGCTGACATAGTAGAAGAATATCGAAAAATGTTTGCCGACATACAAAAGACTCCAACACCAGATGAAAATATTCAGCATAGAATGGAAGTACTGAAAGAAAATGTACACAAATACAACAACCCTTTTTACTTACGAGCATTTAACGTTCAATCTTCGGATGAACTCGGTGAAAATAAAAGGTTAAATTTCAAGAAAACATATAGAAATGAAACATTGTTTAAAGTTCATTCAGAACCTAACCAAGATGGAAACAAACCTACTTTTGTTTCTGCAGACGATGGAACTACAATGAGATGGGGTCATAAAGCTAACCCGGATAGGTGGTTCATAAACTTACAACCACAATTCCAAGAAGTTGTAGACGCAATGGAAGTGAATGGTGAACCAGATATAGCTGGTATTTTCAGCGCGGCTTTAATGCCATTGAAAGATATGAAAGATGCAGATATTTTGGACCAGTATGAAATGAACATGGCTGATGGAAATATAACACCTGACGTTCTAGAACATTTATCTCAAAGAACTACACAGAACCATAGAGATGGTATATTTGGTGAAGAGTTTAGAAAGAAAGTTAGGGAGAGCGAAGGAAGAGAACCTATTGTACATGACCTTGCAAACGAAAGTTTACAAAATGTCATAAAAACTTACTTTGCAGACAATGAACCGAGAAGGGATGAATATTTAAGAAAACTCAAATGGACAGTACCAAATGAAATGTTAGTATTGAAAAACATGTTCCTTGACAAAATAAAACCAACTACAGAAATAAACGACGCAAGACTGAAAGATTGGGTAGAAGCTTTCCCATTCACAAAAGATATTGTTGGTAACATGGAAAGAAAACCAGAATGGCTACAAAAACATATATTTGGAAACGAGCATATTCCATATGGACAGGCACTGTTTGAAGAGCTTGAACCGGAAACTCAGGAAAGAGTCATGCAAACAATACGCGAAGACTCAAATACAGACTATGACAAACTCTTTCTAGGATATAGGTTACCTGAGATGGGCGACCAGAGCCAAAAGGCAAAAAGGACATGGGAAATTTGCAACATACTAGATGAACATAATGCAAAGATGCAACAACTTCAAGCAGAGGGCAATGAAGGAAAAAGAAGAGTTAAAAACTCAGTCAGGAAGAAAGTAAAGCTTGGTCCACGTGGGTTCTATTATGACATATAAATCCAACTATTCTATATTTTTACTCATATGAAATGTACGCCGCTCAGAATATAACGCCAACAGTTTTGGATGCTATGAATGGAAATGTTTCCGAATGGTATAACGAATGCGACAATGCCATTAGAAGGTCAGAAATAGTTCCTGGAACTTACGAATATACAACTGCTGTTTCTTATGGAAACGTAGGTGAGTTTGGAGAAGGTTCTTCAACAACAGTAGATATTGCTTGCGACAGGTTTCATATAATTTCTATTGACAACTCTTTCTTATACGTGGAACAAGACATTGAAATAAAACCTTCTGCCAAGTTGTCTGACAAGAAAGGTTGCAATGGAATTTTCTATGTCGGATACCAATATGCTCCAGAAGTTTTCATGGGATATAAGATATATTCTAACTCTGACTTAGTTCAAACAGTAACATGGGCAAACTATGAATGGTTCGCTTTGAGAAACTCAGTACAACCACAAGCTAGAGAACAAACAGACCAGTATGCAACTATTGAGAAAATAAGAAGACTTGACCCTAACGTTCCAGGAGTTTATGTTAACCTTTCTGGACAAACTGCAGCAGCAGTAACCAAAGTAAAACTGAAACTTAGAGTTCCTTTGTCATCTTTCCTCATCTTCAGGTTTTTAAGATACTTGCCAAACTGGGCAGGAAAAATTTCTATCGAACTTACTCCAAGCAAAAATAACTTA